TCTGATTATTAATGCTCTGATTTTCACATTCTCTTCAAAAATATCAACACTGTTTGTAGTGTCTATCAGGAGGTGGGAGGAGGGCTAAAGAGGCAACATGGCAGTTATGTCATATTATGTCACTTGAATGCCTGTCTGGATATCAGTAGATATGGTGTTATCTTTGTGTGGAGGGTGTGAAGATTTAGTGAAATTAGGATATCTATGAGAATACTTGAATGTTGATTTGGAAGGAAGCAGAATGGGCTTCATCAGAGGATCATGAAACTGGCAAGAAAGTTTGGGGAATGTGAAGCTACATTCAATACTTGGAACAACAGGAAAAAAATTAAAGATTTCTGAGCATTTATTTTATAATTCACAGTGGAAGAATCATGCAATTTCCATCATTATGAAATGGTGCATCATTGGAATGCTACTGTAATGCCTCCAAGAACATCTTGTCCAAAGGATGGAAAGAAGTGAAGGATCAAGAGAAAGACAAAGATGTAGTTCATAAATTCCAAATTGGACCAAATCATTCAACAAAATGAAGTACAAGCTATGAAAGAAGTTGACCATACTATGTCTTTCATAACTGATCTTGAGTATTGAGAATGGAATACCTACTTGCAATCTAGTTTTAGCTGATAGCAAATTAATTTTTATTGAATCTGAACTTCTTATAGTATTAACAGTGTCATCCTATGTGTCACATATCTGAAAAACAGTTTTATTTCAAATGATACCCATTTTAAAGAATGAGATTAATTTAAATGAATGGCAGAAAAGTATCAACAAATTTATTTGGGCGGGGAAAAAACCAAGAGTAAAGCTTAAAATAATACAAGACATTCGTGAGAGAGGTGGACTCAAGGTACCGAATTTGAAATTATACTATGATGCGGTGGTTTTAACATTAATTAATGATTGGGTTAATTTAACAAATGTAGAAATACTCCTCTTGGAGGGTTGGGATTTACTTTTTGGATGGCATGCCTACTTAATTTTTAATAAAAAAGTTGACAGGGTTTTTAAATCTCATATTATAAGGATTTCTTTATTTCGGGTTTGGAGGAAATATTATAGAAGTGATTTTAAAATCCCATTATGGGCTATACCTTGGCATGCGATAGAGGGGATAAGGAGAGGAGTCAAGATGGATGGTGTTTCTTACGCACAATTACTTAGATGGGATGGTAAAAATTGGCAGTTAAAATCTTTGGAAGATCTAGCACAAGAAAATATTATATATTCATGGTTTCAGTATAGACAAATAGTGGATAGATGGAAGTTAGATCGTAATGTGGGTTTACTTAGAGAAGATGAAAATTTTCTTAAACAAGTAAAAGACCAAAGACGAACTCATATTAAGAGAATTTATGGGGTGCTAGTAGAATTGGATTCAGAGGCAGAATTAATTAAAGAATGTATGATTAAATGGGCACAAAATTTTGGTGAACCAGTTCTACTAGATACCTGGGAAATCATCTGGGTGAGAAATGTTAAATTTACACAAGCTCAGAATTTAAGGGAGAATTTTTACAAAATGTTTTACAGATGGCACCTTGATCCACAAAAAATGTCTCGTATGTATCCTGACTTACAGCCTAAATGTTGGAGATGTGGATGTCTGGATGCTACTTATTATCATATCTGGTGGTCGTGTAAAAATATAAAAGCCTTTTGGATTAAGATATGGTGGAATATTCAAAGAATTTTTAGAAGGAGGGTAAAATTTACCCCACAATTGTTTTTGTTAGGTATTGTTACTGATTGTGATACTAAAGAGACCACATTGATGTTAAATTTAATTACAGCCGCAAGGCTGCTGGTAGGGCAATGTTGGAAGAAGGAATCTTTGCCTACTTTGCAAGAGTGGTTTCTTAAAGTTTCTTACCTGGCGGAAATGGCAAAGATTTCGGCTTTTTTGAAGGATCAATCGCAGGAGAAGTATTTTGCGGTATGGAAAAAATGGATAGATTTTATACAATATAAGTTGGATATTAAAAAATACTATTTAGTTTTTCAATAACTTATATTTAAAATATCTTATAGATTTTATTTCCTTTTTTATTTTTATTTTTTATTCTTATTATATTTTTTCTTATCTTTTTTGTCTTTTCTTTATTCTTTTTTCTTTTAAGTATTATTTTTTTGGTATTTATGTTTTTATATATATATATATTATTGTTAATTATCTTATAGTTTGTTTAATTAATGTATTTAATATTTAGATTTATTCATGGTTTATATTTCTTTTTTTTAAGATTATTTGAAGAAATTTTAATTAAGCCTATGTTCAGCTCTGGGAAGGTCGGGGGAGGGAATGGGAGGGTTGGGGTGGTTTGGGGGTGGGTTGTTTTGTTTTTTGTAAAATTTTAAAAAATTCAATAAAAAAAAAAGTTGTGTGTGCTCCATCCATGGTTGTTCTTAAGAAAAGAATGGACAACCACCTATCTGAAAGGGTATATCTCCTACCTGAGCAGGGGGTTGGACTAGAAGACCTCCAAGGTTCCTTCCAGCTCTATTATAATAGATAGATAGATAGATAGATAGATAGATAGATAGATAGATAGATAGATAGATAGATAGATGAAATCAATTTTATCAGTTAGACTTTCTAGGATAACTTATCATTGTTAATCATCTCCGAAGCCTAATATCACAAAATGCAATGCCCATGATTCAGAAATGTTATTCCTGAAGGATCATGAAATGCTTAGAACATAAGTTGTTGTTGTTAATTGCGAAGTCGTGTCCGACCTATCGCGACCCCATGGACAACATTCCTCCAGGTCTTCCTGTCCTCTACCATCTTCTGGAGTCCATTTAAGTTCACACCTACTGTTTCAGTGACTCCATCCAGCCATCTCATTCTCTGTCGTCCCCTTCTTCTATTGCCCTCAATCTTTCCCAGCATTAGGCCCTTCTCCAGTGAGTCCTTCCTTCTCATTAGGTGGCCAAAGTATTTGAATTTCAACTTCAGGATCTGGCCTTCTAAAGAGCAGTCGGGGTTGATCTCTTCTAGGACTGACCGGTTTGAACGCCTTGCAGTCCAAGGGACTCGCAGGAGTCTTCTCCAGCACCATAGTTCAAAGGCCTCAATTCTTTGGCGCTCAGCCTTTCTTATGGTCCAACTTTCACAGCCATACATTGCAACTGGGAAAACCATGGCCTGGACTATACGCACTTTTGTTGGCAGGGTGATGTCTCTGCTTTTTAGTATGCTATCTAGATTTGCCATAGCTTTCCTCCCCAGGAGCAAGCGTCTTTTAATTTCTTGGCTGCAGTCCCCATCTGAGGTGATCTTGGAGCCCAGAAAAATAAAATCTGTCACTACCTCCATTTCTTCCCCATCTATTTGCCAGGAATTGAGAGGGCCGGATGCCATGATTTTGGTTTTCTTAATGTTGAGTTTCAAGCCAACTTTTGCACTCTCCTTCTTCACCCGCATCAAGAGGCTCTTTAGTTCCTCTTCACTTTCTGCCATTAGAATGGTATCATCTGCATATCTTAGGTTGTTGATGTTTCTCCCGGCAATCTTAATTCCAACTTTTGATTCATCTAGCCCTGCCTTTCTCATGATGTGCTCTGCATATAAGTTAAATAGGCAGGGCGACAGTATACAGCCTTGCCGGACTCCTTTTCCAATTTTGAACCAATCAGTGGTTCCGTGTTCGGTTCTCACTGTTGCTTCTTGACCCGCATATAGGTTTCTCAAGAGACAAATGAGATGGTCTGGTACTCCCATCTCTTTAAGAACTTGCCATAATTTGTTGTGATCCACACAATCAAAGGCTTTTGCATAGTCAATGAAGCAGAAGTAGATATTTTTCTGGAACTTCCTAGCTTTCTCCATGATCCAGTGTATGTTGGCAATTTGATCTCTAGTTCCTCTGCCTCTTCGAAATCCTGCCTGCACTTCTGGTAGTTCTCGATCCACATACTGCTGGAGTCTAGCTTGTAGGATTTTAAGCATAATTTTACTTATTTATACATAAGTATAAATATATAAAAATATGATTATACATTTCAAACATTATATATAATCCTTCTAACACTTGCAAAATGGTTTTGATAAAAATGCATACGTTATAAAATTGACTCATTATGTGCCATCAAGTCCTTAAGTAACTACATAGATTTTCTCCATGAAAATGATCTGAGCTAATCTGGTCTCCCAACAATGCATTCATTACCATTGTAACTGAGTCCATCTACCCTGCACACTATAAAAATTTCAAAAGAGATGTTTTATATTTTTAATTAGGGGAAAGTATTTGAAAAACTTATATGTGAGGAAAAAATGAATATGAAATGTGTATATTTTTGTAAATATACATACATTTCATGAAATGAAGTCGTTTGTGCTATTAAAAAATGAAACAGATATATTCTCCCATGCCTACTTGGCATTATTATAGTTTTCCTGATTTGTTAATTAAGGTACTTCCTGAGTAAAGTTTTTAAGCACAGATGAAGAATGAACACTCAGAGGTTCTTATAAGACTCCAGTGATAGTGTAACACAGACTGTGGTGCAATGTTTCACGTATTCAAAGCAAACTCAGACAGAAAGATGATATATCTCTATCAAGAAACAGAGAACTGTAAGAATGATATGAAAAAAGAATATCCTATCCAAACACACATGCAGTGCCATATATGGCAATGGAAATAACTGGAATATCTTCAAGAATTTTTATTATATAGTCCTTTAAAAATAAACCTCCTCTAAAAAAAATCAAATTAGCATTTTTAACAACTTTCAAGAGCAGTACTATTTTTGTAGTTTCACACTACAGAAGTTTCAACAGTGAGTTGTCTCACTGTTCTCCAATCTCTTTGTTGAAGTTTTTCCCCTTTGCAATTTTCTTTTCAAATTTAGGCACACCACAAATACACAACTCAAAATCTATTTGATGAACTCGTCTTAAGGAGGATTAAAAAGACATTGTACATACCATGATACCAAACCATTGGGGCTAGTTTACAAACGAAAACATTAATATCGCTTACCTTCTGTTGGCGAAGTCTTCAAGTGTCTACAGAGGCCTTCCGTGTCCCCATACGTCTCTTTAATTTTAACCACTCCTTCTGTTCCTCGAAGTTCCATAAGAGAACGGAGATCCTGAAGCGTACACCCAAATTCTCCTGCATGATTGGCCTCATTTCTTTGGTTCTTTGAATAAAAATCGCTGTTTGTCATGTCACCCATTGCTGATAATATTGCTCTGTTCAGTGTGCTATGTACAAATTAAAAATTTGTAAGGGTAAAAACTCAAGTTCCAGCCTAAGAACAAATCCACTTTATGTGAACAGTAACATGAACAGAGTAAGCAATGAGTGATAGAAATGTCTCCCACCAGGTGATAGTCCACAAGATGGCTGTTTTCAAGATTGCAGTCCAATTCCACTCCATTCACTCTTTCCCATTATGCTGTATTTGGGCAGTTGGCATCTACATGGTCATTTCTTTTTTCAGACCTTAAGGAACAAAAAATGCATTAAAAGAATAAGCCAGACATGTAGAAATTCATTCCATCATATCACTCTGAAATATGGCTGAATAGTACAATTTTAACCCAGAAGAACTTCTAACATTCTTACAGAGATGGCTCCATATATTTCTGTCATGCTAGCTCAAAGCACTCTTTCCAGCTTCAGAAGCTAGTGTAACAGTCTTACTTTAATCAAGTCCCAAGAGCAACAGCTAAACGAAATGGCTCATGAATATTAATAAATAAGCCATTAATCCAACAGCCTAGATGTGCCTCTGGTAGGAACTCTTGTTCAAACTGCTATATCAATCTTTCATCTGACAAAAACACCCCCCAAAAAATCCAAACAAATCCTACCACCCACTCAAGACTATGACTCATAAAAATCAATTGGATATTATTAGCTTATGATTTCATCCATTATAGAAACTATTTTTCGTTGCAAGGCAAATAAAACTGGAAAAGGAACATTTACATTTCCAATGTTGGATACATTTAAATATATCAAAGTTTGCCATGTTGACAGTCTCTGATAATAAAAACAAACAGAAAGAGGGAGATTTAAAAATACCTGAATGCCTTTAAGATAAATTTCATTCGACAAATAGAAAGAGTTGCTTTCTTTCAGCACCACTTTTTATTTAATACCCATAGCATGAAAAACTGAACATTTCCTGAAAACCCTAAGTAGAAAAATATACCAACATGATTTTAATGTACAATATTCAGGAATAATTATGAGTAAATTACAAGAGGCAGCAATTTAACAACATATTATGAAATTATGTTTTTCAGATACACTTGCTAGTGAGCGTCTTCCACATTCTCCATAACCAGCTATTCCACTTCATCACTGAGAGTTTACCTCTCTTAGAACTTTGTTTTGTTTAAGTGGAATAAAGCCAGTGTACAAATTGAAAAGGGTTTGCTAATTGAAAAACAGACTTTTTAAAAAGTTAATATGAATTCATAATAAGAGACATTACCCATGTCCAGTAATATGCTAGTGTATATTCTATAATAAAGATATATTTTAAGGTGCATATAAAACACATGAAAGGTTATCAATTTTAATCATCCTAATAGAGCTCTGTGGAAATATCAGTAGCTGAATATAAAGTTTGAAGAAAAGTGTCTAAACCTCTAAATTACTATTTCATTTAATCCTGATGTTTTTTAAAAAAATAATCTCCTTCAAACAATCTTGACTGCTAAAGACTCTATGGATATGTTTATGCTGTTTTCTTAGTGACAATTACAGAAGTACTTTACTGTTTCTTTCTTGAATTCAATTTTCCCAATTTAGCCTTGGAATCTTTGGATGTCTTCCAAGCAAGCACTAACCAAATCTGACTTTCTTCAACTTTCCGAGATCAGCAAAGATCAGCATGAAGAGGACCCTTATTGTGACATTTAATCCCAAACTGGAAATTATTACAGAAACTATTCCTCTTCTAGTTGCATAGCTTCAAATTTCCTGCAACTCAGATAAGTCTCAGGTTACTGTCTCTTAACAATACCAAAGTGCTTGTATGCGTATGTGAATTTTGTAGGAGTGAGAGGAACACCAGAAGCATAGCTGAAGGGAACATAACTGAACATAATTTGAGAAAATTATGAGAAAACATGATCAGATCTGTCTACATACTTTTAAATACTTTCTGATCAGCAAATGTTAGGTAAAATATGTAAAGATGGATCTTTTATTTCTTTGCCATTTTTCTGATCTAAATTACATGCATACAGAGAGAGAGAGAGAGAGAGAGAGAGAGAGACAGACAGACAGACAGACAGAGAAACAGAGAGCAATCTGCCTTTTTGTATACAGAAACTACAATTTATATTGACAATTTACACTGGATAACCCTGTCATCTCTGATTGACAGTCATCTATTTATACTTCTGAATGAGTCTTTTTGAATAAAGGTTGAGGCAATGAGATTAGGTTGCAAGATATCACTAAATCCAAAAGCTTTACTATTTCATGAGGGTTTAAAATATTTACTGTAGCATGAAAAAAAAAAAAACTTCCACTGTCTGTTAAGCCTAATGAAATCAATGTAGAAGACAGACAGATGACAAATATATGTTAGATATAAATGGTAGCATCAATGTCAGAAAAATATTTGATGTAACAAGAGTTTTTACTGAAAGCTAGGCTGCAATCACTAGACCCTTCCTTCATAGCATTCCACTTCGGCTTTAAAATATATTCTTTTAATGCCACAATTCACTAATTTTAGAAGTTGTTCTACTGTGAACTCTCTTTGATGAAAATACTTGATGGGATAAACTTGATTTGATTAGGTGTGGTGCCTCCAGCAAAGAAGCATTAACACTGTTCTAACTTTTCTAAAAGTACCATGTCATTTTGGCAGCCAACTTTAGGCATGCTACATGCTACAAAATAATTTGCCTGCTTAATATTTTATTTGAGAATCAATTAAATTTTAATCAACAAACAAAAGGCAAAAGGGTATTTATTTCTTATCAATGTTTAAGAAACAATTGAAAATCTCTATATCAGATATCCTTAGGAAGATAATATACTGTTGTTTTGTAAGGTATATTCTCACATGGTAAAAGTGCACAACACAAATAGTACTAGCTATTAACTATACATTTTAGGTTCTTATGGAACCTGATATGAAATCTGTATGAAGAATTCATGAATTCTACCCCAAAATTTAGCAGTTTATTACAATTGATCTAACTCATTGATCAGTACAATCACTTCAAAAATGTAGGAGTATTTCTTTATTCCTTTATTACATTTATTTGCATCTGCTTCCTTTTAGGACTCTAGGAGGCTCACAATAAAATCACAATAAAATCAACAAACACTGAAATAACTAACATAAAACCTAACACGGCCTACAATTTTCAAACAAAATTTCCAATTTTCCAAATTTCATTTTGTACAATGGTTTTTCCATTTCTACTTTAATTGCATATATACTTAATGTCACAATATTTATTTAATGATTCTTAGACAATGCCCCCATTTGATAACTTTTCTGTTATGTTGCTACTAAGATTTAACCAACTTTCCTTTTTCTCCATGGTATGTCATGTTCCATTTTGTCCTTTCTTCTATCTTTTTTATTTCATTTTTATACTATTGAACTTGTATGATACTGACTCCCAATGATTCTGGGAAGCTCACATCTCATCCCATCTGTTCTCTAATGAAGCATTTGTTTCCTGGTACATGTACCATTTCTTCCTTAATTTTTTTAAAGTATTCCACTCAGAAAATCATTTCTCTTACCAATTCCTGTTTATTTTAATTTGTCTTATATTGAATTCCATATGTACTTAATTATACTTGCAGAAAAAACAGTATTTAAATTACTGTTATGATTAAAATAAAAAGCAATTTGATTAGGACTTTAATTATATGAAAGAAGTCTCTAAAATATTATCATGATTTAAAGTACACCACATTGCCAATAACATTTGGGGTTTTTGTACTGAATATTTTCTCTTATGTATATCTGGAAAATAATTCTTATCAACTGTTTTTGAAAATTATCAATTTATTGGAATTCTTCTCTACTGTCGAATGTATCTCTTGTGTACTGGAGACTCTGAAATATCTTCCCTAAGTGACATTTATCTCTTATCATCTATCTATCTATCTATCTATCTATCTATCTATCTATCTATCTATCTATCTATCTATCATCTGCCTGCCTGCCTATCTATCTATCTATCTATCTATCTATCTATCTATCATCTGCCTGCCTGCCTATCCATCCATCCATCCATCCATCCATCTATCCATCTTCTATCTATCATCTATCTCTATCTACTTATCTATTTCTATGTCTATCTCTATCTATCTATCAATCACTATCTATTATCTATCTATCATCTATCTATCTCATATATTTATTTATTATTTGATATTGCCATCCATGTTGTCCTGGTGATTTGGGGCAGCAAAGACAATAGATATAATACAAAATAAGAAAATATAAATACACACATAGTAAAAAACAAAGAAACATGGCAATTGAGGATAAGACCAACAACAATAAATTAGCAATAACTCAGACTTGAACTACCTCCCAGCTCCTAAGCCTGGAAAACCAGTAGATCTGGAAATCTTTCCAAAAGTTCAGCAGAGTTGGGGCCAATCTAATCCCACTTGGAACGATATTTGAATGATTAGGCACATGATGGAAAAAGTGAAGCAAAACATATCCCTCCTGATGAACATAGTGGGGGAGTAGAAAGAGTTGAAATAAAGGATGCTTCAAATATCCCCTCCCCTCCCATTAATGGTTTTATATGTCACAGTCAAGACCTTGACCCCTACTTAGAAGTCTTCTGGGAGCCAGTGCAGTTTGTGAAGCAATGGTATAACATAGAGCAACCCAGTATTGCTCATGCTACCACATTCTGGACTAACTGCAGCTTCCAGATATTCTTCAAGGGCTACACTGGGCAGAGTTATTGCAGTAATCCACATTGGGAGGCATAATGAGATGGGAATACATATAATGATTGTAACAGCAGTACAGGACAAATAAATCATCATCTATCCATTTAGGCAAAAAGGTAAACAGCGTGTTTTAAATAGAACCCTTGATACAACTGCAACAATTATTTCACGGTTAGAAGGACTTGATATGGGCTATGGCCTGAATGCATTATTTGCAACTATATTTTCATGAGGTGCTTAGTGGATGATTAAAAGGCATTTTTTTAAAAAAAAAAATCTACATTTTGCTTTGGCCAAAGTTAGCTAGATGTGGCATATGTGTACTTTCTCTATTATTTGTGAAGTGCTTCAAATGAGATGCTGTACAAAGCACTTACACAGAAAAAAAAGAGAAAAAATATTTCTTAAGTGCTTTTGGAACAAATATAAAGCTATAAACTTATAAAGCTACAAACAAAAAAAATTCCAACAACAAAAAAGAAACCAGAGAGAGAAAAAAGCCAGAAGTTTGCAGAAATTTTACTAGAAAGAGGTAA